ACAAAGGGATGCCTGTTGCAATCAGACATGTCACTTCGGTACAGACAGAAGTGATTCCTATGGACAATAGCAGCTGTCAACCAAGGAGATAAGCGCGATTTTACTTTATATTTTCTTACAGGGATGAAAACCTCGATTCCAACTTTTACCCAGGAGGAGACCTCCGACGCACATTTTTTGAACGGGGAGATTAAAAACATTACTTCAGGGGACATCGCGAAGCAAATCACAGTCTGCTCGTTGATAACAGAAAGATATTCTGTTAGTAGGTTCTTTGCTGGGGGGTGGGGGTGAAGAAGTAGATGTTAACAGACACTACCACATGATCAGAGTTGCCAAGAGTGCAGTTCTGCAAGACACGACAAGAGCTGGGGAGAGAGATAAAACAGAGATTGAGAAGGGAATTATTACTGTCAGGGTTACTGGGAAAACGCATAGAAAAGAAGCCATTTGTGTAAGGGACTAAGTGATTGTAAAGTTAAGGGTTTGTATGTCAGCGAGGTCTTTTTACAGAATGCTTAAGCCGCATGGTATGGCGGGCGATAAAGTCACCGAACACAAATATGTGTGCAAACGCACGTAGTGAGATAGCCTTGTCTATATTATCGGAAATACTATACAGTACACTACAGTCTTGGGAGGAAGGAGAACGATAGAGAAAGAAGAGATAGCTTGACAGAATTGAGGAGAGATAGACGGAGACATATATATATATATGAATGGTCTGGAGATTCAAGACAGAGTTCCCTAACCAGTGGGAGATAGCCCCGGGCATAAATTCCCGGGCCATGCATGTGGATTTTAGAGTCGTTTCTAAGGAGAGGAAGAGAGTCAGGAATCAAGAAATCAGAAGAGGGGATTGACAAGTTAAGGTTGGTCTTGCAGAGAGCTAGTGTATCAGGAGACTTTTCAGTGAGGAATGATTCCAAAACAGCAGAAATTGGTTCGAATGCCACGAATGTTGGAAAAAGGAAATGTTAAAGAGTTTAGGTGATTTTTTTTAGAGCTGGTTTTGGTTTATTTTTTGATGGTTTATGGTCATGTTGTTATGTTGGTTTAGGAATCCTTCTATTCGGTTTTTCGTTGAATGTTAAAATTTGGAGTGTCTGGATTCGATGCATTAACAAAATATCGTTACAGGGTCGCTCGTAATTTGGCCGTCTAGAATAATCACACGATTTTCATTGAAGGAATAAAATTCAGTAGAAAAGACAACATAGCTTCAACAAATAAACATTAATTTAATATAACGACAAGAATATAAGCAGTTGATGATAGATTGGAAAGTAATGTTCTGAAATAAAATATAAACTGTATTTGTGTACGTATGTGAGAAATAATAAAATGTTGTGATATGTGTGTTTGTATGAAAAAGTCAACACGTGTGTGCGTGATTCATAGTAAAGCGGATACAAGAGATAGAAATTGTTTCTTACTGTTGGCGGTGTTGCCGTGGCCTGAAGTTTGTCAACGCTGTCGCTTTTACCATGAGGTCGTTAAGATCATAAGCGTGAGTTGCGTGGAGTTTGGTGACAGCTGTGTGTATCCCTGTTTGGGAACGGATTTCGTATGCTTTATACACTTTTTCGTAACAAAATCGTCTCCAGAATTAAATTATTTATTTATTCCTAATTGGCCCTAAGAAATCACGTGGTATGTCTTCTACTACATCCGCACGATATTTGGTCGGTATCTACCTAAAAATAATGACAAACATTCTGATTTGTAATCTATGATTTTATTGGTGTGTTTTAAGATGTAAGTGTTTTCTCTAAGTGTGGTTGGTTTATAAATATTGTATTTGATATTTTAGTGGACATGACATTGGTAATGAATGGGCCTAAAGTAATAATAGCAGAACGGTCATCGTATGTGACATGGACACAAAGCAGACTGCAACATAATGTGGTCTTGGGGTTGCCCACCAAAGATAATTGCAGAGACATCTTTACATGACACTACAAGCACCCCGATATTATGCAACTGTTGATCAGAGCACCCGTTCAAGACACTACGCAAGAGTTAGGGCTCCTAACTATTAGTCAGGAGCAACAACCAGAGAACTGTCAAACCGGTACCCTCAGTATGAAAAGACGTTGCCACAGACGGCCCATATCACAAGAGATTCACGACAGTACTACTACGCAGGTCAGAGAAAAGGAAAACATCCGGGAAACCCTTCCTAAACAGGAAACAAGGAATGAGCCTCTAATCCTGTTCAAGAGAAGGACCGGGCGATAGGCAGGTCTATCTACTCCTATTACACACACACACACACACACACACACACACACATCAACAAACAAAAACACAAACAAGCAGCATACAAGAAGTCCATAAACAAAGTGCGTGACACGCAGGGTTGAAACCGAAATATAAAGTTTCAACTTAGTTTAAGTGTCAACATTCACTTCTTGAATAAAACATTCCTCGTCCGTAAGCCTGGAAACTCTCATGCCGTCCATTATTTGCATGAGTCAGCAAAAAAGAAAAAAAAAAAAGAAAATTCAAAGAACTAATAATCAAGGTTTTCAAAATGGAGGAAGACTAAATTCATTTCAATTAATAAAAAAAAAATAATGGAAGAAAAAAAATTCCGAAATAATTGATACCGACAAAAAATAGGTAAATAAGAAATGGAGTGAAATTCAAAGGCTTTTCAATGTCGAAAAACATTTTTGAGCATTCTTCAAAGTAGGTCTTGGCATTCGGGTGACAATTGTGATTTGTTTTGCGATTTGAATTGAGACATGGTGCTATCGAGTGGAGAGTAAATTTATTCAATTTTCTTCTTCTGTACTCTTTGTTGTCAATGGAAATCAGTAACGCCTTGGGAGAAAGAAACTCGAAGACAACTATACTCATGTTCAGTAGACGTGAAAGGAATCTGAACTGGGCAATAGGCGAATCTATTACTACTGTTAATTCTTTTACAGCAAAGGAAGCTCCAGGCAATTAGTCAAAGAAAGTAGTGATCTGTTCCAGGGTAAGGTGGTATTAATAAAAACTGTTTGAAGGTAAGCCAAAGGGGATACTTCCAAGGAGTCAACAGTAGTGTTGACTTAGTATAAGTTTTATTAGTGCTTGTATACAAAAAAGAAAAGAAAAATAATTCACCTACACCAATTGTTGTGTAGTGTTACCTATTCATGGGAAGTAGTATGCACTCAACTGCCTCATGGGTTATAGCCGTATCTATTTATAGCCTTTATGATTTCATTTGTAAATGAGTCACCTCATTCCCCTGTACGAAAAATGTTTTATCCCCTTATTTTCCCTGATACTTGTAGGAGCATTTGTCTCCTCGCTATCTTTCTCCCTCTCCCTAAGAGATTGTCTAGATATGGGAGATCTTGACCTTTTTTCTTTTTTTTTTTCAGAGGAGCATTCCTTCAATGAACGTTCTTCTTCATCTTCAGAGTCTATATTACTCTCGATTTCACTGTCTAGTTTGTTTGGCTTTGACATGACACTTTCGCCTTCATTAATTCCAGGCTCACTATGCATTTCTTCATTGTTATCGTCTTGCAATCTAACTAATATCGCTAATATCCCACTTCCATTTTTTTTTCTATCGTCATGATGTTCTGTCCTTCTTATCTTTTGTAGATTAGATTCACTATTCTTTTTATGCCATTATTTTTCTTTGGTAGCATAGGACATAATCAGTGAGCCTCTCATTTGTTTAGCCATGAGGACGGACAGGCTTTTCAATCTTCCAGCATGTGCTGTTGTCCTATGACTTAGAAACATTTCTTCCTAAATTGTTACTATCACTTCTTTCCTATGTACTCATATTTAAAATCCTTTTTTCCTTTCTGCTAATCTGTTTGATTGTGTATAGTTCAGAGAGGTTTTATATCATTTGCATCTAATTTTGTTCAACCACTGGCATAGTTCATCATCACAGAACTCTGGAGTGTTGTCAGAAACTAGCGTTTTCGGAATTCCATTGCTTGAAAATATTATCTTTAACGCTTGTTTCACGGTTGAACCTTTTTGTTAGAGTATTACGTCTGGCCTGCTTCAATACGAATCTACCAGTATTAGTAAAAGTTCAACTCCATTAACATGGGCATGTTCTGTGTGTACTCTGTCCCAGGGTTGGAACTCCTTAGGCTATGTATGTGTTTTTGTCTCTAAATTTTCTTCTTTCAATGCCCGTTTTACAACTTCATCTCCCTGTACTGAAAGGGTTTTATCTCCTTATTTTCCCTGGTACTTTTTCTGGGAGCATTTGTCTCTTCGCTATCTTCTTCTCTCTTCCTAATAGATTGTCTAGTTATTGAAGATTGTGATTTTTTTTCTTTTTCATAGGAGCGTCCCTCTAACGATTGTTCATCTTCAGTGTCTATATTACTCTCGATTTTACTGTCTAGTTTGTTTGGCTTTGACATGACACTTTCGCCTTCATTAATTGCAGGCTCACTATGCATTTCTTCATTGCTATCGTCTTGCAATCTAACTTGGTCTGCATGCGCTAATATCCCATTTCTATCTGTCTTCTCTCATCACAGTGTTCTGCCCATTTTGCATTATGAATATTACCTCATGTAGAGTAGAGTCATTATTCTTTTTATATCATAGTTTTTCATTAATGTCATAGGACAGTGTCAACGGGTCTCTAGTTTGTTTATCCCTGAGGGTGGATGGGCTTTTTGATCTGCCAACATGTGGTATTGTTCTATAACTTAGAAACATTTTTTCCTAGATTGTTGCTATCTTTTCTTTCCGTTGTACACATATTTTCACTAATGAAACATCATCTAATCTGACTATTTCTCTAAGAAACATTCCTCCCTGGTCTTTTGCACAGGAGTAGAGGCTTATCCATTGCTTAATATTTATGACTGAGTTTCCAATTACTTCTAAAGTCTTTTCATTCTCTTTCACTCCCAGTAGCTTCTTGTGTCTTAGTGATATTATCGTCTTACTTGGGCTGAATTCTAGAATGTGCCATAATTCCATAATTTAAAATGCTATAACATTGACTTTATCAGATTTCTACCTGATTAAAACATTCCTTTTCTCTACGTCCAAATATCTCCAAATAACCGCCTCCCACTCTGTGCACGACGGCTAAGTAAGACTGTCGCTCACTGTTCATGTTTTGCTCCCTCTATACACAATGAACAAGTTTGTTAGTTATGTTAATTGTTGCTTAACACTTCCTAGGAACATTAAGCAATGTTTGACCACTTATCTCTTAGTGTTCATGTTCTGCCCCCACTATATACACCAGCTTGTTAGGTCTGTTAATCACTGCTTCCTAGTAACTTACTATCCCTTAATGTTCATCTTCTCTATATACAGAACCTTGTTACATATGGCACTGACTTTTTCCAACTTTCTAGTAACCGTAAGCAATGTTTGATCCCTCACCTCTGCTCATGTTATGCCTCCTATATACAAAACATATTAGGTATTTTACTCACTGCTACAAAATTCCTAGTAACACTAAGCAATGTCTGACTCCTTTGTATTCCTCGCCGTTCAGTTGCTGCCCGCCTCTGACTTTCCACATAGTATTGCGTCTCTTTTGATATATATATATAAACTCCTTCCATGGTTTCTGCTATCATCTCTAATCTGAATCCCTACAAAAGCATGTTGACCTGATAGTATCCCTGTAATAGTTCTTTAAAAATGTTCTCTCGAACTGGCTACTGTTTTCTCTAAACTGTATAATAAATGCCTCTTGCTTTCCTGCTTGTTGGAAATTCTCGTCTGTGTTGTTCCAGTCTCTAAGAACTAAGATGATCTATAGAACTATCAGCTTATTAGCCTTTTATCTCTGTTCGAAATTCCAATCACTTTAAGAGGGTTGGATCGTACAATGAAGATGAGGATAGCAGAACGAATAATGTAAATAATGTAAATAACCATAATACCTCATCTCAGAGATATAGACAGATATTAATAGGATTTTGTATGTAGTTGTTAAATGGCGCAAATATATATTTACTACTAAGCTCAAGCTTCAGCTGATGTAAACTCGTGCTTTAATAAGTTGTTCTGTTCTGACTGCAGTTGAAATGGACTCTGCCAATCGAGTTCTATATGATTTTTCCACGGCGAGATATAAAATGCATTTGCCTTATGTTTTAGCTCAGATCCCAGAGGGACACCCCCTCCCCCGGTTGTACATCTCCTTCGGGAGGGAATTGGGTTTATTGTCCGGTGCTTGAGGTGTTCCCAAAAGGGAAAGTGATGAGAGGATTTTGGGATTTTTTCCTACGGTACTGCCGATAAACCCACTTTAAACCGATCTTGTGTTGCATCAGTTGCGTGGTAGGAGCACCGACAAATATCTAAAATTCATTTGCCTTTGGTTGGGATTTATATTTTAATTTTAACCCACACACCAGTGTTTTTCCCTCCAGGCTTTACCTATTCCTGAGGAGGGTTCAAGTTTATTGTCCAACGCCTGAGACGTCCCCCCCCCCAAAAAAAGTAGTACCGATGGGCTTTGGGAATTTTTCCTCGGTACTGCCGAGAAACCCACCTAAACTGATTTTGTGTCACGTTTGGTTGCGCGGTGGTGGCGCCGGTAAATAACTATAAAATCCATTTGCATTTGGCTGGGTTTTATATTTTAACCTAAATTCCGGGGGGGCTATCCCAGGCTTTACCTCTCCCACTGGAGGGTGTTTAGTTTATTGCTAATGTATGTACTAATGCATTGGCTGGGATTTATCGTTTGATTTTAACCTAAGCCCGGCGGGGTTCCTTCCAAGTGGCCTTTCCTCTCGGGTAGTACCCCTCCCTCGTGAGGAGGCTGGGTTTATTGCCCAACGCCTCAGGTGTCCCAAAATGGGAAGTGCAGAAGGGACGTGGTGTAGCCGTTCAACCCACTTTAAACTTTGACCTTATGTCACATGCAGTTGCGACGTAGGCGACGAGGGATCGAATTAAATGGTCTCAGATCAACTGTTATCTACTTTCAAAAATGTCATTTCCTAATCTTCTTGAGTAGCTCTTGGCTCTTGTATTGTGTAAACAATAGTTTCTAAAAAGTGGTAATCTAGAAATGCAAGGTATGTTGGATGTAGTGAAATATCCCATGCAAGCCAGAACCAATTTCTGCTGGGTCTGCAAAATGGTGTGAATCTGACGGTGTCCTTGTGGAAGACGGCACCGCTCCATTTGGTCAATTTTAGACATTTTTAATCGGTTCAGTTGAGAACAGTACTTGTCTAAATTCAATGCCTGATTTTGCAGAAGAAGCTTGTAAGGCACAATACTCTTTCAATTCCACGTCCTTTGAATGAAGACCACCTTTTGGAGTAGTTTTATTTATCATGTTACTTAAGGCAAATACTTTGTGAGAAAACACACAACGTTCTGTCTGAAAGATTTACAATTGAAGGCGATCCTCATTGACGTATAGAAAATTGTAAATTTGGGTTGGGGGATTTTACTAACAACTTGCTCGTACAGACCATTCAAAAAATACAAATATTTTTTTTCCAGTAAGATTCACCCTGTGCAAGGACCAGGGGCTATTCGAGGAAGAGAATTACAATAAGAGGTAATTTATACGGAGGAGGAGGAGAAAGGTTGAGCAGGTTAAGATACACAGGAAATGTGGGTGGTTTGCCACTATGCAAGTGGCATGGCGGATCCTAGCCATGATGATATGCCCTGATGCCAGGAGATGCAGTTCCTCCAAACACTTTTCATGGTAGTAGCGATAGAGCAGTGAGAGACTCGTCATATCCCGCCTGTGAGAGAGCGGTTGGGGCATGGAAAACAATTCTTCTTTCACAAGGACTTGGAAATGCTTTTGAACTCTATCAAGACTGGGGTCTGAGTAGCTCCTGGCCAAATATGGCAACAGTACTCAACTTTTGATCTGATCTGGCTCTTATAAATGTAGAGGATAGCATGAAGATTACTGGAGTGGTAGAGGGAGCCGATCATTTTACCTGCGTGTTTAACAATGGACCGTATATAGGAATTTCACTTGAGGTCGGGTGTGAGTTTGAGGCCAAATAATTTGGTTTTAGCCAGTTTTTTTCCCTACTGGGAAGTTAGTATCTGTCTATATTTCTGAGATGAGGTATTATGTACATTATTTACATTATTCAGACTATTGTCCTCATCTTTGTCGCCATATTTTTTATTACAACGTTTCGGCTGTTGTACGTTCCGGCTTTCTTCAGGTGGTTGGAATGTCGAACTTAACCCTTTATTTCGCTCACTGGGGTAGACTATTCTAGTTCCACGTGCCATGTTTAATGGACACATGGCACAGTGGATAAAGGCGTTGGTTAGATCCAGTGACAAGACCCAAAGAGTGTGAGTTCAATACCCGGTTAAGGCAGTGGAGAACTTTCAAAGGGAATTAACAGGAGATAACTGATAACTGACATCCATCAAACTCGAATACGAGTGGCCTGCTATTATATATATATATATATATATATATATATATATATATATATATATATATTCATTTAACCAGCAAAAAATTGCATACTTCAGCAATATAAGAACTAGAAAAAAAAATGGTTTTAGGAATGTCAAAAAAGAGATTCGAGAAAAAAAAATGAAAGAATGATTGGTAAGAAAGTTTGACAGCTCGATAATATGCGAAATGTGTAAAAGTAAACTTGCGTCCTTTTTACTGTACTAATTACGTTAAAGTGAAACCACGCAATTATTAACATTCTTCAAGTACGTTATAGTGAAAACCACGTCAGTTTTAGTATTCTAAGAGCGTTAAAATGCATCAATTTAACGTTCTAAGCGCATTAAAATAAAAAAAAAATCGCGCCATTTTTAATGTTCTAAGTGCGTTAGAATGAAAACCGCGTCATTTTCAATGTCCGAATCGCGTTAAAATGAAAACCGAATGATTATTAATTTCCTAATCGCGTTAAAATGAAAACCGCACTATTTCCACGGCATGTAGCAATAAACGACATCATCAAAAGAGGTTTGGATGTAGCTGGGTTCCCTTCCCAAATCGAACCCGTAAACCTCGACCGTGGTGATGGAAAGCGGCCGGATTGCATTACCATTTTCCCTTTTAAAATAGGGAAGTCGTTGATTTGGGATGCGACTTGTGCGGATACATTTCCGGCCGGTAATTTGATCAGTTCCGCGGTTGAGCCAGGATCCGTCGCCCGGGACGCAGAGATGAAAAAAATAGTTAAATATTCTTCTCTTGTTGATTTGTTTTACTCCTGTAGCAGTGGAGACTTCCGGGGTTATTGGCCCTCGTTCGATGGCGTTCCTTCGGAGGATTGTCTCGATTGCGTCTCGATTAAGGGACGAGTCTCGCGAAACGGCGTGGCTCTTGCAGCATGTCTCACTGGCCATGGTTCGGGGTAATGCTTTCTCCATCATTGCGGCTGGCAGAGGATAGAAAAAATGGTTTATAGTTACGTTGTTCTGGAATTGTCATCAGTGGTCAACTGAACTTGTTTTGTTTCAATAAATTTATTCTCCTGATTGTGTTAAGGAACTAAAAAAAAACTTTTTAATTTTCTAATCGCGTTAAAATGAAAACCAGACTATTTATAATGTTCAAAACACATTATTGTAAAAAACGCTTCATCTTTAATTTTCTACGCGCGTTAAGCGTGAAGCGCCATTTTTAATGTTCTAAGCGCGTTGAAATACAAACCGCATCATTTTTAATGTTCAATGCGCTATAAAAAGAAAACCCCTTCATTTTTAATGTTCTAAGCGCGTTAAAATGAAACCCACTTCATTTTTTTTAATGTTGTAGGCGTTTTAAAATGGAAGCCGCATCAGTTTTAATGTTATAAGATAGCTACATTAAACAGCGTGTCATTTTTTATGTTCTAAGTGCATTGAAGTGAAAACCGTGTCATTTTAAATTTACTAATGATATTAAGTTGAAACCGTATAAAAGTCCACGTAAATGATATTAATTTTTAAACTCAGCAGTTATCCAGTTTAAAGCGTCTCCCTAAGAGAAACAATTCCATTCCAATTAAAGACCTAAAATATTAATTTATGTCCTTGAAAGATCGATTATTCATTTGTCTCATTGCTTGGCAACAGTGAATGACCACGCTGTTATATATCGACATTAAAAAATAAACCAAG